AGGGTTGAGTGAGCGTGCATCTTTCCAATTTAAAAAGGTAAACATTTGCTGGGAGTGTGGGGAAAGGGAACAGGGTGGGGGCAGGAAGGGTCGAGTGAGCCTGCATTTTCCAATTTAAAAGGGTGAGCATTTGCTGGGAGTGTGTGTGCTCCGTTCGTGAAGTGTGTTTAGTTCATTTGTGAAGTGTGTTTAGTTCATTTGTGAATGATGTATCCCGAGGGCATCCTATTTTGGACAGTAGTCGTAAGGGATGGGGGATAACCATCACGGCGTGTTTCGTTTGTGTCTAGTAGATGAGTGCTAGTTTGATGGTGAATGAGCAGGCGATTGTGTGGCTAAATCTCTAGCTGCTGGTTGAAAAGCGGATAAGCATTTGGAGTTCGTAAGATTGTTAACCTGACCTGAAGTGGTGTGAAGGGTTTATCAGTAAGTCGCATGATGGCTTAGAGAAAAGAACTGATCGAGCATTTGAAAATAGTTAGGTCAGTTAAAAAATTGGTTATGAAATCTTCAATTAAAACCCCTGCTGTTGGATATAATATAACTAACAAAAGACGAAGTTAAAAGAAATTTCTGCTTCCAATGTTGCCATTGCCATGACCCAAGTAGGGAAAACCGACTTTAGAAGGAAATGAAAGGTCCACGTCAGACGTCAGATTGGACATGCAGCTGCAGTGCGGCACATCCCTACATTCCATAGTGACAGTAGTTACCTTCCCTGTATCATGGAGGGAGGATGGGAGGAGGATGGAGAATGGGAGGAGGAGGAGGTGGCATCGGTTGCTTGGTAAACCATGCCGAGGTTGAGTTAACGAGGACTGACTGTTTTGTATGAAAGGTGTTTAAGCTACATAACAACCTCAGCCTGGTAGGCTTTAGTGACACTTTTGGCGGCCAGGGTATTGTTATCCTGTGGGGCCGGCGATTTGCTGTCAGCAGCTGAGGGGCCGGCGATTGGCTGTAGAATTCTAGTGACTGTGGGGCCGGATCTTTGCTGTCAGCAGCTGTGACACGCTAAGCCTTCTCTGTAGAATTCCAGTGACCAGTGCCTGTTCTGCCGTCTTTGTGAGATTTGATAATTGCCTGTAAGGTTAAAAGTTAAAACTCAAGGTTTTATGTGGAAAATCACAATCATCATGAAGAGGGTGCTTTTTTCTTGTTTTTGTTCGAAAGGGCTTCACTCAACCATGTGTAGTGCCTGAACTACTCGATGTCAATGTTTTTGCAAACTGGCAGGCTACCGTCTTTTACCCGAATACAATGCCCAGTTTTTTTTTTTTTTTTTTTTGGGTGAACCCGGCAAAGTCATCATGTGGTTCTGGTACCTTTTCTGGGCTCGATCACTGACTGCCTTGCTTTTTTTTTTTTTTTTTTTTTCCGACTTTACCAAATCGCTAGAATATGTGTGTCTGGAAGCTCCCAACCACGAATCAGATAGGTGAAATGGCTGTATTTGAGGCAACTTTCGGACTGCATACAGCGATAAAGACCAGGCGTTTTATTCGGGTGAAGATGGTAGTGAAGACGGGTGAAGTTGCTCAGACAGTTATCGGTTTTCAATGTTTGTCCGTTATTCGTCATGACGAGTGGATGGGAAATTGTTAGGGGAGTTTTTGGTTTTCAATGTCTGTATATACTTGACAAGTGGCGGGGGGTGAGTCTGGAGAAATTGTGAGCCCAGCTCTGTGGGTTGTAGATGCTAGATGGACTGGCACTGGGTTGGAAGGCCATTTGCCGCAGATTCTGCTGCATCTGCTGACGAGTGCGGTTCCAGACAGTGTGCCATCACTGCCATGTGGTGGAATGGTCATTTCACCTTGATGCCCTTACCCTCCCCCCCCCCCCCCCCCCCCCCCCCCCTCCTCTCACCCTTCCCTCCCCGCCCACATGCATGCACACAAGGACTGTGGTGTTGCGTGGACATGTATGTTGGACATGGAACGCACGTTCATGCACACAAACACACATTTCAACAAAACTTGGTATGGGCATATGCTTGTTTTTCATTTATGCATAGCGAACACTTATGCTGTTTTTTTTTTTTGCTTTTTTTGTTGAGTTTGACGAAACAGTCTGGCACAGTCATGATGCTTCTCTTTGTTGGGTTGCCGAGAGAGAGAGAGAGAGAGAGAGAGAGAGATTTGCTCCCTGTGCTGCTCCCTGCGCTGCGACACTTGTTTGTCATTTGTCTGGTTTAAGGATTGTATGACCATCGAGGAGAAGATTGGAGGACTGCTTTGTCGGACCTGGTTGCTTTGGCCACTATTGTGCAGCAAGCAGCTCGAAGACAAAGGGAGCGGCTGCAGAAGAATAGTATGGCATGACAGCACTACTGCGAGTTGTGTAATTTATTTAGTAATTTCGTAATTTACTCGCTTGCGTGCAGCAAAACTTGGTCACTATGCCATACGTTAGCAGCAACTTTGCACATGTGAATGTTGCGAGATACTCTTTATCTGTGGGCAGACTTTGTGTATGCGCGCAGTGCCCCTATCAATTCATATCAATAAGTTATCGGAACTCTGCTCGGTGGGGATGGTAGACTACACAGGTGCTTACCTGATGTCTCTGTCCTTCACAACAGTCGTTGAAATGCAAACGACACAGAGAAGGTTCATTTCTGGTGCGCAAGGATGATACACATAAATCGACAAGTGGTCCAATTTTTTAGGGAAAAGAAAGTGAATACGTCCTTATGTGACTATTTGGTTTCGGGGCATAGAAGGGCTATGTGGATGTGACTATGTGGTTATGTGGTATAGAAGGGCTATTTGGCTATGTGGTTATGTGGCTATGCAGCTATGCGGCGCTTTGGATGTGGCAATTTGTGATTGTGCAGCCTATGTGGTAGTGTGGAATGAAGGACTAGATGATATGTTGCTGTCCTTCGATTTGAGGAACAATTTCTGTGCAGGCTTCTATCCAATCTAAGAGTATGGTTTATGCCAGAAGCAATGTGGATGCTAGGTAGGACTAGATGCATGATGAATAAGCAAACGCGGCGTCCTTGCTGATGAAAATAGTGCCAAGTGGCCTTTCCAAGTCACCGCATCACAAGGAGAAAGAGCTTGAAGACATTGATTGATCCCTCGGTTGAGCACGTAGTTATTACCTTTTTTTTTTTTTTTTTTGGCGCCTCATTTGATGGAACTTGCTATTTGACGGCTGGCCCTGGTCTATTTCGTGGATGAAACTGCCTCAATAGGCAGAGTGCATGAACTGCCAGCCAATGGGACCCGACCTTGCAGCGTTTGTCATCGCCTACGAAGAGTCGTGAGCCTCCGGCACACCGGACCACAATGGCTGGCCGCACCAGCCAAAATAGGAAAATGTGCAGTGCTGGCAGTTGATAAAGCTTGACCAAGTGCGTCACTGCCATGCCAGAGTACTATTTCCTTTTTTGGCAGTTATTAAAGCTTGGCGAAGTGTGTCACCGCCAGGCCCAAGTGTACCGGCGGTTTAGAGTTTAAACTGCCCAGTTGGATATTGCCCAGTTGGAATTGAGAAAAAATGCCAATTGGTATCCCAAAAGTGAGTTGGAATTGGAACGTACTAAATTGAAATGGAGTGTCTAAGGAGTGTCTGAAAAATTTGGAGGCTCAGGACTCCTGGACCGAATGGGTGGTGCACCGGTGGCGCCAGCCAGAGGGGAAAAAAAAAACAAAAAAAAACGCCCTCTTGCCATTTTGGCATAGTGTTGCATGAAGGGTGAACCCGTGTCAGCGAAAAGCTGCAGGCTTGCATTTACTGGGGGGGGGTTAAAAAGCACTGGCTGTCACCTTTTGTTTTTGGAGTACTGCTTGTCTGGCAGTCTGTCCGTCTGTCCGTCCATCCGTCTTTGTCGTTCTCTCTCTGTCTCTGTCTGTCTGTCTGTCTGTCTGTCTGTCTGTCTGACTGTCCGTCTGTACAGTCTCGGAGAATCCTGAACAGCTCGGCGGGGTAGCTGGCTAGGGCTCCAACAGGCTCGGGGTGTTACGAGTTAGAACTATTATTAACTGTCCTTTGCTCAATTTTTCTTTCCAATAAGGTTTCCAACAGGCGGGAAAAGTGAGACCTGCTGTAGGTCCGTAACTATTTTGCGAGGAGCAGCATTCACTGCTCTCGCGATCCATTTTCGGTTCAGTTTCAACAGCACAAGACAACCGTCTGGGATGCCTCAGATTGGCTCAGGTGTCCTGGCGGGGCCAGGTCCGGGCGAAGTCCCAGTCAAAATCCTGGGCAGGCCCAACACAAAAAAACGGAAAAAAGGTATGTCATGCAGAATTGCAAACCGAACATCTTTTGCCTGACGGTGACCATGAAATTCGGTATGGAATCCTAATAAAGTAAAGCACTAGATTCTTCCCCTTGTGAAGCAGTTTATAGATCCGTATGTTTGGACGTAGGACTGCTGTGCAGTTGTGCATGCATGGAATTCAACTGGTGCCGTTTGTCCCAAGAATTTATCCCTGATAGGAAAAAACAAATATGCGGATGGTATATGCCAGAATAAGTCCGGAGCTGGTGTGTTTCTTTTTGCTTCACAGGGCATTTTCACGCTCGGCTGAGTCGGCTCCAATAGGTGGGGGAGAGGTAGTGTTGGGTTAACCATGACAGCCATGACACGGTGTTTGAAAGCGGATCCATACCCCTCGTCATATCCGCTCCACACATGCAAGGCCATAGTGTCCATGGGAACACTTCTTTTTTTGTTTCCTTTTTTTGCTTCAAAACCCTCACTTCAATCACTTAATTCCATTCCTTATAACGTGTTAGAATCCCATTCATCTAGAAGTGCGTTCTCCTGTGTAGCCAACCCTACAATATCACCGCTTCCCTTTGCAATGCCACAACCACCTTCTGCAATGCACTGTATCCTGTTATAAGTGCCCTCTCTCTCTTTCTCTCTCTCTCCCTCTCAGTTTATGATCATCTTCGTTTCGGGCTTGCCGCATGACACAGGTCATGAAAATAAATGAGTGCATATGGCCAAGAAGCTTAAGAAGCTTGTGAAACACATCCGTATTGTTTATAAATTATAATGCATGGATGAAATAAAGTCATTTCATAACCAGTCAAAAATTTGGCTAATTCTTCAAAATTGGTCACTCGTGTAAATCCATAGTTTATATTCTGCCTGAAACAGTTCACATTCTACCAGAAGATGTGTCGCGTTCGTTTGTCGTTTTGTGCGTTGTGCAGCGCAACGCGTAAACTCGATGATACTCTTCCTCTATTATCATTATGTTCTTGTTTTTTACATTTTTGGGGGTCTTGCTTACTCAACTCATCTAGATATTTTTCATAGGACTAGACTCCGTACATCCTTTGTTTGCCCACTGCCATGCTTGAAAAGCAAAGAACTCTTTTTTTTATTATTAATTAAAAAGGCTAATTCTTTTAAGCCCAACCAATTCAATTACCTGTCGAATCTGGACAGGACGGCCTTTCAGGCCTTTTTTATTGTCATTATAGTATTACGGGGAACCCTGTAGCAGCCACATCCGTGCTCAAGCCTCCAACGAGGGAACATGCGGGAGCTGCACCCACCAGCAGGTGCGATACCTGCTACAGCAGGTGGGCCATACCGGCCAGGGGGCACCCATCAGTTAACTTCTTCGATGGGAAAGTCCCTGTGCCTTCCGTGAGGTGGTGTTCCCCTCCCCCTATGAACATCAGCAGTCTCTGCTCAATGCCACTCAGGGTGACCAACGGCAGATCTCTAGGTGGCGGGCGCCAAGCTTGCCCAGGAAGGTGCATGAGGCCAATGGGGATTGAACACAAGACCTCCTGAACGCCACTTGCGTGCCTTACCAACTGAGCTAGGCTGCCGGATCGAAGAACTTTTTTATTGTGAGTGTTTGTTTTTTCTCGTTTGAAACCCTCAAATCCTACACATCTTTGCTGCTATCAACATGATCGTCACGGCACAAAGGTTACTCAGGTTGGAGAGCCGTGTGATGAGCAACCATCTCGCACGGTTCGGAGAGCACTTCTTATGGTTGTACAGTTGTGGTATTGTTATCTTAAACCACCACTACCTTTCCCAGTGTTGGGAAAAACGGGAATATACGTTACACCCCATTTATTGGGGTGCCCGAGGAGGCTTGGGCAAAAGAGTGTTTGGGCCTTGTGGCCTGTACAGCAAAAAAAACAAAAAAAGAAAAAAAAAAGTGGGAAAAGGAAGGATGTCGGGGGAGGCCGTGATGTGCTGACATCAATGCTTCAAGGAACATATCCACCATACTTGCAAGCAGATGCCGTCCGGGCGGTTCCGCACGTGCGGTGGACCGCCGGACCGGACCCGTGCGGCACACGAACGTGAGCCCGACGACCACTTATGCCCCCACCCCCCCCCCCCCCCCCCCCCCGAAAAAAAAAAATGGTCCCAGCCGGCCCGGTCCGGGTCCGTCTGATCCGTGGGGAGGGTGCCGCATGCGGCAAAGCGGATTGGACCGGGCGCTCGTACGGTCCGTCTGCTTGCAAGTATGGTATCTACCAAGAATAACAGCTAGTTCCGTTTTCTTCTTTTGTTTTGTTTTCTTTTTTCCCTCTTGATGCTGTTATAGTGATCTGCCAACCAGGCAGGGCGGAATCCACGGACAGGGGACACTTTGCAACCAACGGGTTACTCTCACATATACTCTGTATACAGTTTTTTTTCATGGTGCTAGAGATTTTTTTTTCTTTTTCCAACTTTTCTGTCCTCCTGTTACGGCACGTTGGAGGGTATACTCTCACATGTGTCTGCAATTTTATATCCAGCTGCTTTCACGTCCAAAGCTAGGCTACCAGAGTGGCCCGGGGTCACTTGCCCGGCCGGGCCAAAAAGATTAAAAAAAAATAAAATATTTTAAAATTTTATTATATATTTTAAATTTGGTAAGGAATTTCGATGTGAGCCTGAGGCAAAAGTTGTTTAGTTTTTTTCAGATTTTTTGGATTTTTTTTGTTTTCTGCTGGGACCTTCCCTTGTCCTTGCACGGGCTGCTAACCCGGGGCCCGGGCGGCCTGGCTTGTAGCCTAGGTCCAAAGTGCTTTTTTTTTTTTTTTTTTTTTGGTTCTTTGTTTTCTCCTGGATGTGCCGACCTTATTACGGGAGGGCTATAACACCCGTTGCTAGGGGACACTCTCACGTGCACCCTGGAGTCTGTATCTAGCTGCTTTCATGTTGCTATTTTTTTTTTTTTCTTTCCCTTTTCCATAGAGTACGAGAAAAGAAGAGTACCACAAAGGAAAGCACAACGGGATCCAGGCTCGGCAAAACTCAGTGCGCAGTGAAATTCAGAGTTGGTAAAAATAGGATTGGAGGTAGTGGTGGTTTAAACAAAACTTGCCTTCGTAATGTGAAAATTCAGCTTGTTTTCACTAATCCATCCCTGAATAAAAAATAATGCATTAAAACTCAAATAAAGTACAAAAGGAATTGAAATATGTAAAATGATTTAAATATGGTAAGGCAAATCTGGCTATATGCTGAAACCTCCGCCGAGTATCCAATTCCTCGGCCGTTTTGACAGTTTCTTTGCAAACGATTTTTGAAAGTTTTAGATGCTTTGCCCAAAATTACAACTAGTGTTAAAAAATTTGATCACAATTATTATCTAGTTTATATGTTTCTCCATGATAGATCCATATCCTATTGTCATATTGTCTATATATGTAACGGAGGTTAAGGTGACTGATCACTTAGCGTAATTAGTTAGGGATTCTGCAGCCTGTTTCCCCTTCCTTTCTTTTTTTTTTTTTTTTTTTTTAAACGGGCCCAGTGCCCAAGGCTGAAATTACCAATGAAAATTGCTTGCGGCCGGGGTCCTCACAGTCCACCCGGAGTTGATGAAACAAATTTGCTGAGAACCAGGCCCCGTGGCCCTCATATGTTGATGAAATGTTTCTGATCGCAATGCTAATGATATTGATGCTAATGGTGATGCTAATTCATGCTCATGTGCATTGTAACAGGCTACTTATAGAGCGATTCTGGCTTCCTAAACCTAAAGTAACTTGCCTTCCTTATACCAGGACATACTTACTCAGGGAGAAAGCCAACCAAACCAAAATTCCCCCATAGCTGATCTCTTCTCGCCACTAAGCAGCCCCCCTCGGTTTATCACTGGTTTACATTCCTCCCTCGGCAAACCCCAGATCTCTCTACAAGACCTCCCACTCCTGCAATTTGCAGGTTACAGGGCAACGCCCCAGCTCCGGTCAGCGTCGTTCTGGCATCGGCAAACCAGGGCCACAGAACAGAACAACTCTGCGGATATCAGTCCGGGTTCGACCTTCTCTGAACTCCTACACCCCCGATATGAGCGAAGACTAAATGCCACCGAAGATCCCGAAAACCAAAAAGCCCATTCAAAAATTGTATCTACGAGCCGCCCAACCAGATGAGTCAGTCCGTGAAACTCCGACGAAACAGTTTGTCGCGCCCCCCCCCCTCGTTTGGTGTTCTCTTTTCCCTCCCTAGGGAATCTGCAGCCTGTTTTTGAGGGTTCATCCTCTTCCTGACGAGTCAAAGGCTTCGACGAAACAGTTTGTCACGGCGTCCCCCTCGTTTGTTGTTTTCTTCTCCCTCCCTCTCTGCCTACAGTTAACCGAACAGCTTTGTTTTGAGATCTATACCACAACTTCCCTAGCTCCCTGCTATGGTTTTCTCCGGTCAGGTCGAGCGGCAGTGGTCGGGGCTATCATGGTTATGTTGTGCCTCTAGTGCCACCGGCATGTCTGGAGTGTACTTTTTGGTTGTGACAGAGCTTTCTCTGTTTTGCGGGTGTATTGCTGGCTTCTGATGGGGTGTCAACAGATAGTCTGTAAGATTTTCAATTTGGTTTGGTGTAAGTGAGTGATAGTCTGCTTTGATTTTCGTGATAGGTGCCTCGAGGGCGGTGGTTGGTGCTCAGTGCTCACCTCAGGGTATCAGTTGTGGGTAGTCGTTGATGCTTAACCACAACTGCGGTTAAGGCGGATTATAAATTACAGTATAATCGGTTAGGGGACTCTGGAGACTGTTGAGGGTTCAGCCTCCTGATGAGTCGGTCGGTGAAACTCTGATGAAACAATTTATCCCAGCACCTGTTTTGTGCAATCCTGCCACCCAAACTCCATTCAACCAGGCCTGAACCCACCTAGGCATGCACAGTCGCCGCCAGACTCCAAACAAAAATCACAGAAAAACAATATTCAAACACTCACCGCCAGATTCAAAACAATAGTCAGGCGCGAGAAAAAGAACCATCAAATTCCCGTGCACCTCCAGCCAGTCCGCAAGTATTTTCCCAACAGTGGCACACCGGCCTCGCGACAGCGTTACGCGAGATCTGCTATTCCCTTTGAAAAGAGTATAGAATCTGTAGATAACATTATTTTTTGAAAGTTTTTTCGACTTTTTTGCAGTGCTGTGCCGGCAACCCCCCGTCCAACCGGAGCTGGACCAGCCCAGGGGAGGTGAACCGGGAAACCGGTTTTGAAGAAAAGGTGCCCACACATCTTTTTTTTTTTTGGGGGGGGGGTAAGATTCCAACTGCGCCCTTCAAGAGCTGTCCGAATCCGCAATAAAATTTTCAAGGTACAATATTTTTCAGGAGGCTTCCAGAGGGGGGCAGGGGGTTATTATTGACATATTCAGGCAACTATGGCTTCCTCGGGGAGGGGTCAAGTAAGCAAGTTCACTTATCCGACCCCCCCGTGGCTGGAGCACTTCCGGGCAGCTGACTATATATATAATATATACAAATATATATACTTAGTGCAATCAGTTAGGGGATTCTGCATATTRTCAAGGATTCCGCCTCCTGACGGCTTCGTGAAACTCCGACGAAACAGTTTGTCACAGCCCCTCGTTTGTTGTCCTCTTCTTCCTCTCCGCCCGCGGTTTACCCGGCAGCTCTGTTTGACGATATATATATAAAATCAAACAGAGGGGTTAAAGGTGGATTATCTCTTAGTGTAATCAGCTAGGGGATTCTGCAGACTCGTGACAGTGGTGAGGGTTCAGTCTCCCGATGAGTTGGTGAAACTCCGACGAAACAGTTTGTCACAGCCCCTCGTTTGTTGTCCTCTTCTCCCTCTTTGCCTACAGTTTACCGGGCAGCTCTGTTTGACTATATGTATATATATCGTCACAAACAGAACTGCCCGGAAAAACTGTAGGCAGAGAGAGAGAAGACGACAACAAACGAGGGGCTGTGACAAATTGTTTTGTCGGAGTTTCACTGACTCATATAGTCAAACAGAGCTGCCCATCAAGGTATGAATTCTGCCGGAATGCAATGACATTAGCAAGGTGCATGCCCGTACGGACAGCACAGTGAAGAAACTAAGGGAAAGCACGCACTTTGCCCAATCGTCGTAGGAGGAATAGGAGGAGACCATCCTGAGGCGCTGGAATGCAATGACATCACCGCTGCATTGTGCTGCTGCGCTGTTCATGGATCCAGAGTACAGAGTGTCGCGACAGAAACGGATGCAGAGGTTGCTGATGGGTTTTGGACGTGGGTTTACTCTCGGTGCAACTTGAAGGAGTCTTTGTATTTTGAGGACGACAGAGAGGCTTGTTCCTGGATCGTGGACACCGGGAGGCACAATTGTGAAGACGCAAGGAGACAAGCCCATCTGATGCACTGGAAAAAGTGGTGCAGTGACATGCCCATCCTCCAAAAGCGAGCCGTTTGTCTGCTTGGACAAGCACCGTCCTCCTCTTGTTGCGAGTGGGGCTTGTTTGAACGAATTCATCACCATCTCCGTAACAACCTCGGCGCCATTACGCTTAGCAGGCTGCTAAATAAAAAAGATCCCTTATGCTGATTTGCAACAGACGGAACCAAGGTTTGTATTTCGAAGAATCCTTATCAGCCTTCGGCTTCTTAACCAAGGCATTCAACAAACGCTGGTTTTCAAGAGATGGAACCAGCGTTTGTTGGATGCCTTGATTAAGAAGCCGAAGACTGATAAGGATTCTACGAAATGGGAAGTGGACGAATCAGTGGAAGATCTGACATGGGATGTGATCGCAGCGGATGCACGATTCGGTTGGCGGAGTGGTGTACCCGGCTCAGCCGGCTGCACAGAACAGAAGCCAGTTGGTGATGCAGGTGCGATGACTCAGGCTCCGGCGACGATGACGACGACGACGACATACGTTCAAGCACCACAAACGGCTGCTCCTAAGGAGGTTACGATCCAGTGTCATCGTTTGTGCAGCAATCTGCTTGAGCTCGAGAGAGAGCTCAACGAGTCATGGAGGAAGGCCACAAAGACGTCCAAGTTTCCCCAACATTTGCATGAGTTGGATCAGGCCACGAGGACCATGACTGTTGAGCATGCGAACAATACAAAGCTGCGAGGGCAATTGCATGTGGTCAAACGAGGGAGAGGGAGAGGAAGACCTCGGAAGGAGCTGCAACTCAAGGGGCAACAGGTAATGAGGAGATCGAGGGCGTGGAAGGTGGCAATTTGGCAGGAGGTCCACCACCCGCACGTGGCGCAAGAAAGCGAGGACCACCGCAGAAAGCGCCCGTGCAAGAGGAGGCTGCAACTCAAGGGGGCACAGGTTATGAGGAGGTTGGGGATGTGGAAGGCGGCAATTTGGCAGGAGGTCCTGCACTTGCACATGTCAGAAGAAAGCGGGGACAACTGCAGAAGGACCCCGTGCAAGAGGTGGAGGAAGCAGCGCGAAAAGCGACAAGCAGCGAAGAAAGTGGTGGCGGTGGTGATGAAAATGATGGTGGCAGTGACGAAAGTGATAGAAGTGGCGATCATGACAGGAGTTGCGGCAGCGTCGGAACTGATGGCAGTGGCGAGGAGGATGAAAGCGAAGGTGACGAGAAAGATGGCAGTTCTTCGTCGGAGGAGGGAAACTCGGAAACAGAACCCGTCTAAACTGCGCAAGACATCCCACTGACCACAGAGAGAGAGAGAGAGAGAGAGAGAGAGAGAGAGAGAGAGAGAGAGAGAGAGAGAGAGAGAGAGAGCACTGACACTGCTGCCAGTCTGAAGACTCTTTAAAGTTAAAAATTCGAAGTAAAAGTTTTTTTTTTTTTTTTCTCTGTTTCTTTAGTCTTGTGCCAGCTTTGCACTGTTTGCAACTCTGCATGTTGCAAGACAGGTGCGCTGCTGCCTGAGTTACGAAGTGAAAAGCAGGTTAGTGCTTTCCAACACAACCCCCCCCCCCCCACCCCTCACCTCTTTTTCTTTTTTTTTTTTGGTCCTTACATTTTGTACCCACGATATGGGTCCAGACTGTCCGGGTCCGGTAGTGTCTGGGTGCCCACTGATGTCCAGACCACCGGACAGTCGGGACTGGTGCAGACTTTCGTCCGGAGTAGGGTCCACAGTGACCATGATTCCTTGCGAAGAAGTATTTACAGTTAGTTCATGCCCTGTCCTTCTGTCTCTACTTTGAAGGCCCTTTACTTCTTTTCTTTTCTTTTCTTTTCTTTTTTTTTTTTTTCTTTTTTTTTTTTTTGCTTCTAACCTAGTCGTCCAATTTTGAGGTTAAAAAAAAAAAGACCTTTTTGTTCTCAAATGTCTGCATAGGGCTAGCTCTCCTCTTGCTGTTTGAAAGAGTTGGGCGAAGAATGCTAACATTGGATTAGTTCAAAGGTTGGTCTCCGTTCCCAGCCAAAAAAAAAAAAGGTCGTCGGTTAACAGGGAGACCGGCGCTGGCCTTGCACGGTGGTCAGTTTCAGCCCGAATCGTTGAATCATTGGCGCGCAGGGCCCACGGCCAACATATGCAAAAGGTACTGGCGATTTAAGCGCTGTCTCTAGGACCTGTCTCCATAATTACCTTATCCTTGGCCAGATTTTTTGAGAGATTGTGGACGCCGTTTGGGAGGGAGAGACATCAATCGCATCTAATCTGTTTGTTGGTTCACGTTCCTCTTTGGCTTGCTTTCACTCCTGAAGGGATTGCTGCCAACACTCCTGAGTAAGATGAGTTTTTCAATTTGAAAAAAACTTGAGCCTCTGCTTATGTAATGGGCTGAACAAGACTTGAAATTAATGATTATCTGGACTGGCTTGGGATCTACGCCAACATAAGGTCCTAAGGTCTTGTGTGTGGGGGGTGGGGATCCAGTACTAAAGCAATCCAAGAGAAAAGATTTGGATCATATTTGATTCTTTCTACCCTACCTGTCAATGGAGTGTTACATTGAAACTTGAAAGTCGATTCTTCGGAGCAATTGTCTTGCGCAGGAGCCTCTCTCGAAAAGGGTGATGCAACCTGTGGAATTCTGTCCTCCTTTTTGGTCACACCAAAAGTTAATTGCTCGAGTGGAAAAGAGAACCGGCGTCCATACACGAGTCGTACCAAACTAGTCGTATACGTCGATAGTCGAGATATCTGCGCCCATACCCTCCTTAAAGATCTTTTTTAAAAGAAAGAAAGAAGGAGAAAAAAACAACCTAAAAATTTTCAAGTTTCAACTTTTATCAATGCAAAAAAAAAACGGAGGAGGAGAACCGAGAACCTCCCCCCTTTCTAAAACTCATGCCTCCATCAAACTCATGCAAACAAAACAAAAACAAAAACCAAAAAAAAAAAAGGAAACACTCGTGACTATAAAAAGCATTGAAAAATGTGAACTTCTTTTTGCGTTTTTTGACTTGAGAATAACTTCCTTGTCCAACATAAATGTAACACTGCTTTTGTGTCTTGACGCAGTGCCAATGATTCTTCAGATCTGGGAGGGTGTCTCCTAAACAAATATAGGGAGTTAAAAAAAAAAAAAAAAAAAAAAAAATCATCTTTCATGGTGGGAAGCAGTCTCATAAAGAATACACCCCCAAACTTTCCAAAAAGTTATTAAAAAAAAAAAAAAAAAAAAAAAATCCATTCTTCAGCTCTCATAGTACAACAACAATGGACTTCCAAATTTCCGTCTTGACCTCGGTACAAAATTGGATTTATCTGAAAATGCACCCCTCTGGCAGGTGCACAGGCGTAAACTGCCTGCCCATCTCTCATCAGAGGCATTGTTCGACAAGAACATCCGCAAGCCTCCCCTCTCTACCCCAAACCTATTTCCCAAATCAACTGCTCATTTCACCTCTTTCGCTTGTTCGGACAGCCGTCTCTTTTTCTTGCCTGACCCACCAACATCAGAAGTCACACGCGAGTGCCGCTTCTTGATCTTCCTCTTCGTCTTCTTCGTCTTTGGGTCAGCGGCAGGAGCACCGGAGGCCTTGGAAGTCTCTCGAGGCTTGGAGGTGTCTAGGCCAGAGGAGATCTTCAGTGGTATGTCTGGCAGTGAGTTATAGACGGGCAACGCCGCCGACTCCTGCGCACAAGCACATAGACCGACAAAGGCCAGTGTACAATATATTGCAATAGGTTAACAAACTTAACATATAATAGACAGACCTATTGACAAGGAACTTGCATGGATGGGCAAAGAGTCCGGCGGACAGAGCGAGACAGGCAATGCTGCGGAGTCCTGGGCACAAGCACATAGAATGACAAAGTCCAGTGTACAATATTTTACAATAGGTTAAAACTGTGTAGCATTGTGTTCGCGCTGGGTCACCGAACCCGAACGTTCACGACCGAACATGAATGACCGCCAAAACCCTAACCCTCCGAACGCGAATGAGCGCCAACACCCTCCGCACACGAACATAAAAATACTAAAAATACAAGACCAAAAAAGTTATTAGAAAAATCCGAGTTTTTTTCAAAAAAAACATATGTAAAATAATAATACAAACAACTTTTGCCTGGGTGGTATGTTCAAATTCGTAACCAAACTCGAGTTAAAAATAAAAAACCTTCAGAAAAAAATCATTAATATTATGTTCCACCGAACACGTTTGGGAGGTGTTCAGGAAAGCCCAAGCATATTCGGTGCGCTACGCAGGGTTAAAATATAATAGAGAGACCCATTGACAAGGAACTTCCACGAATAGACAAAGAATCGTCGGACAGACAGAGCAAGACAGGCAATGCTGCGGAGTCCGGCACAGAAGCACTTAGAATGACAAAAGGTCAGTGTCACAGGAGTGGTGCCACACAACTACATTGTGAAACACTGCAAGGCCCCGCTAGGACTCTCTTCAACCTGCGCATGCCTAGACCCCGTTTGTGTGTGTGTGTGTGTGTGCAAGCGGGCGGGCAAGTGAGTGAGTGTATGTGTGTGTGTGTGTGTGTGTGTGTGTGTGTGTGTGTGGCCGTGCCAGCGGGTGGAAAGTGAGTGAGTGCATGTGTGTGTGTGTGTGTGGGCAGGCAAGCGGGCAGGCGGGCGGGCGGGCGAGCGAGTGTGTGTGTAAGTGTAGTCTAATACACACTTGTTATATGTATATGTACACACATAGTCATGTACCAAGTACTGTGCACAATGCACCAACTCTCAGACACCATCAGATCGATACAACTACCTGCAACTTCATTACACCTACACCTAAAAATTTATTCTTCCGATTGCAATTTGTTACGATACATTACAATACGTAAACATACATTACACAATACAATAGACAGAACTGTCGCAAGGGGCTTGAACTGATAAATGGGTGGCAGGTCAGAGGGACAGAAGGATGGATCGGTCGACCGAAGTACAGAACAACGGATGGATGGAGAGCACAATGGATGAACCAAACGACGAACTAGGCAACGAAGCAGCCCACTGACCGATTGACCGGGTGGGCAGACAGGTGGTTAGACTGAGAGATGAACAGATAGATGGCCAGACAGAGATACAGACGGGAAGGCGGCCCAACAGAAAGACAGGCAGAGGATGACCATAATTTCTCCCAGAGTGGTAGGCAGACGTAAATGAGGACTGGAGTGCTCTTCTGTGTGAAGCATGGACCTCCCCTCGAACAGCACCTTTGATGATAACATGTTTCAGAAGAAGTTGCAGAAATAATTAAAGTTATTAAACAGAATTGAAAATACATCCAGGATGAACTCGGAACACAATGGAAAATGGTGAAAACTCGGACAGATCAGCTTCGCAAATTAAGGAAATAAAAATGAGTCGGTTAGCTGGATAGCTTCTGTCAGTTGGGATGGGGGAGGGCACCGGTACGACGATCAAGGACTGGACTAGGGTGAACTCAACAATACCGCTGCGATAGCTTCTGTCAGTTGGGATGGGGGAGGGCACCGGTACAACGATCAAGGACTGGACTAGGGTGAACTCAACAATACCGCTGCGCTCTCCTGCAGAGATCTCCGACCCCCAACCCCTTTCCACCCCATAGCCTCTCCATAGTGGTTTTGCAGTAGTACGGGGAAGTTTAGGTTGGGTCATGGGCTGAAGGGTGTTCAGAGGCAGTTTGCTGAAGGCAGTAGGGGGCAGAGAATTCCTCCTACGGTAAGCCGGCGCAGTCAATCCTCTAGCGCCCAGAGCAATCAATGCTGGCACCCACCTTTTTGTTTTATCTTTTTAAGCCTACCGTTTATGTGTTTGATCGGCATGATGGCTGCATCTGAAAGGGAGGATAGGGGCTAGTCGGTCATGTGGTTCAGGCGCCCAGCAGCAGGGCTGAAGAGGACCCCCTTTTCTTCCTCCCGTCTTGGACATTCATTCTCCTGCTCAGACAACCCCCTGTTTTCAGGGCAATCAATGCTGGCAGGCACTTAGGCAAAGAGCTCAGATGGATCTTAATGGCCTTTGTTAGTATAAGGGATGCTGGACCCATTTTCCAGCAGGTGCTGCTCCCCACCAATAGATGGAGCCTTCCCGCGTCTGCTCACATCAGCGCCCCTAGCTCTAACATATGAAGTTTCATTAAAAAAAAAAACAAAAAAAAAAAACAAAACGACAACAACAAAAACGTAAATGAACTGAAGAAAAGAAGGGCATATCTGCAACAAGGAGGAGATGACCAAGACAAGCAGATTATATCCGATAAACTGGTATGCATTGACAGGGTATCGAGAAATGAGACACCCCCCTACCCCCCCGCCCCCCCCTTGCAACAAACCATCAGCGGTTCAGACCAGTTAACAGATCGAACCATGACAGAACGATCTCTCACCTTTGTCTTTAAGTAGATGGCTTGAACATTCTGCCATTTTCCATGGACAGCACGCGCAGCTGCCCTTATAACAGTCATCACATTCTCCTCAACTTGCTCTTCTTCGAATGTTGTTCTTGCAGCTTTGATAGACCTGCAGAAGACGGATGAAAGCATACGGAAAATACATTTTTTTTAATGAATTTCGGTTAGAAAACAATCAAATCCGCGCAGTACCAAAAAAGGGACTGGAGGCTACTGTCCCATGATTTTCAATCACACAAGCAGAGGAGCTGCTTATCCCCTCGCACTGCTTGACGAGGGCGGGAGGGGAGAGAAGGGAGAGAGGGGAGAGAAGAGGCGGGGGGTTGGGGGCCAGCCGGGGTGCACTGTACCAGTCAGAAGTGCAACTTCGACACTTGTCCTTGGGAAAAAGAAATACACGAACACGAACAAACTTCTCTACATGCACAAGAACTACCGAGGTAATCTCCGTCCCAGAGCTTGAGAGCCGTAATTTTCGTTCTTGGGAAAAAGAAAGTTAAGAAACGCACGAACGAACCAACTTATTATCGCTCTCTCTGGACTGCAAGTTGGCCCCAAATTCCCAAATAGAGGTATAATGACCGGACATTCTATTCACGTGAAGCCGGTAGAGCTGGGCTGTTGCTTGTGCTTCACTGGCAGGAGGAGGAAGGATAAGAGGCTGCACTTTCTTTCTTCCTTTTCTTTCTTTTGCTCAAAAACAAAAAGAATACACCAAACTTTAACAAAGGGAAATGATTGTGCTACAGGTGCAAGGAACAATGGTTAAAACCATCACATAAATAGTATTTCGGTCATCGCTTTTGGCCAAGCCAAAGGTCTGGAGTTCAAGTCAGCTCTAAGGTTGCTTGGTCGGTGAAACGGTTTTCACCTAAGCAGTAGCAGATGCAGATCCCAGGGCTCGATCCCTAGACCCTGTCCTCACCCGTGTACAGTATCAAGTCGACCCCTGTGTGTTTAAACCCGACCCCTGTGCGTTTGAACCTGTGTCCTGTGTCTTGGTAGTCGACTGTTGTCTGTCGTGGGTCTGTGTAGTTGTCGGGTTTCGATCCGTAGGTCTGTCAAGAAGGGGTCGTCGCTGTGTAGGAGTCGTAGCTGCTACAGTCCTGAAAGGTCTAGGTCGTAGCTGCTACAATCCCGAAAGGCCAAGTCCACAGACTTCCGGAAGGTCCGGAAGTGGCCTTTCGAGAGTTGTTCATGTTAGACCAGAGACAAGTGGGCAACTTTGCCTAGTCAACGGTACCCAGTCCCAGTCTCACTTTGTCCAGTCAGCAAGTACCATATGGGACTGTGTGCACCCTGGGGCCGGTGGAAAGGAGCAGACCAGCGACCAACAGAAGTATAAATCAAGAGGCAGCGTCCAGTTATGGATTCATTCAGACTGTGAGCCGTGCGGAAGCGCTGCCAGAGCGACTTGCACAAGGTCCGCAGGTGCCCGAAGGAGGAGAGGGCTGCGAGGGAGACAAAGCGGCCATAGCCGCTAGTAGTGGTAGAGGTAGCAAGCAGCCATAGCTGCGCTAGGTTAGAGATAGTCTACGTGTTTGTGTATGAGTGTGCAGTGAGTTGTGAGCGTGTGTGGGACATCCAGGGAGATCCAGAGTAGCGTGTGTGTGAACTGTTGCTGAGGGAGGACACAACATGGAAGGGTGTTGTGAGGGCGCACGCGCGGGTTACATGCCCAGTCGGACGATGTACATACATGGCCAAGGATCCGCAATGTGATGAAAAGGACTGAATGGACAATGCAGTGCTTATAGAATCTCAACAAGCAATGTACATCCTGTTACATACAAAATGGCGCCTTGTAGCGCAGCGGAAGACTTAGATATAAGCCCTGACCTGACCGGGACTGGCCTCTCTCACGTAGAACAAGACAGCGCAGCAGAATGCTAGAATACCAATGACTAGCCCAATCAATGTCCCAATACAGACCAAACATACATCATCCTCATCACAAGGTGTGAAGGGGCCTGGCACTACACACAGGAAGAATGCGCCAGGTCCAGACCATACACAGACGAAGAGGAGGGAATCAGACGAAGAAGAAGGGGGAAGATGGGAATGTCGTCAGCACCAAGTCTTAGGTACAAGTCCCAGATAATCCCTCGTCAAATGTCTGAAGCCCAATGTCGAGTCTGGATCCAAATGTCACCAAGCCC